TTTTCAACCATGTCAAAAGTCGGGATCTACAAATGTATTCTCTTTGACATAGGATAAAAACATCCTTTCTTATAATTTCATTGTAAAATAAAATTTTCTTAAATTTATTGAATCCAAACTCAACTTTGCAACATTTTATTATCATAAAAACTAAGAAACATCAGGTAAACTTCAATTTGGAGAGCTTAAAATCATATCTAAATTGAAAAATAAGGGGAAAAAATTGTAAAAAAATCTCATTAGATGGGGCAAAAAGTGACTTTTTTAATGTGTTTTTTAAAAAAATCGTGCCAGCTGGCCAAAAAAGGTGTGCCAGTTTGTACAACCCTAATTAATTATATAATAAATTTCGTCATGACATAGTCATAATGAATATATAAAAGATAAATCCTAAAATCAATCCATAATGACATCCCATACAATTTAGCTCTTTGAGTCCTTTATTATCATCAGATTTTTACCGTATCTTTACCAAGTGCAGCATGTTTTTTTGATAAGGATGTAGCTCGCACTAGAAACATCTAATTTATATTTACTACGAACTTCTGGCTGTGCTCTTCTTTCTGGTTAATTCAAACTATATTTTTATAAAATATTAATTATGATAATTTTCATTCCCAAAATTGTGATAGTGCTATAATTATAAACAACAGTTCTAAGTATTATTTTTACAGAATTTGTGAGTTCTAAGGCTCGTGGAAAGCAGAATAGGCACAGAATATTTTAATTCTCTTGAAATAATTGTGAAAGTAAAAATAAGTCACTTTAAATCTCTGATTTTCACATTCAGATGTTATATATTTATAAAAATAACAAGAAGTCACGTGTTCAAAGGAGAGGAGAAGTCAACCATTCTATGGCTGAGTCGTCATCAGTTTACCCCAGGATGAGCCAACGCTCAAAATTGGATTTCTTTAACCAAGAAGCTCTAAAAATTCGATTCAACATGAAGTCGATAACGATAATTCTCATTTTAGAATTCAATTTTTGAATAGAACTGAAAAATAAAATAAAAATAAAAGTTTTTTTTTTAATTTTTTTATTTTATTATTATTTTTTTGGACTTGAAAGAAAACCATTCATAAAGATTTTAGATAATTTTTTACATTATCTTTTGCAAGATCCATTGCTGTTTGTCCATCATTATTCTTTGCATCTTTATCAGCTCCATTAGAGATAAGATATTTAACAATTTCAAGATAACCATATCTTGATGCATAAATGAGTGGAGTATATCCATCTTCATTCTTTGCTTCTTTATCAGCTCCATTAGAGATAAGATATTTAACAACTTCAAGCTGACCTTCTCTTGATGCATAAATGAGTGGAGTATATCCATCATTATCCTTTGCTTCTTTATCAGCTCCATTAGAGATAAGATATTGAACAACTTCAAGACGACCATTAGCTGATGCCCAAATGAGTGGAGTAGATCCATATTTATCCTTTGCTTCTTTATCAGCTCCATTAGAGATAAGATATTTAACAACTTCAAGATGACGATTAAAAGTTGCATGAGCGAGTGGAGTCCATCCATCTTTATTCTTTGCATCTTTATCAGCTCCATTAGAGATAAGATATTTAACAATTTCAAGATAACCATATTGTGATGCATAAATGAGTGGAGTATATCCATCTTTATTCTTTGCTTCTTTATCAGCTCCATTAGAGATAAGATATTTAACAACTTCAAGATGACTATTATATGATGCACGAATGAGTGGAGTATATCCATCTTTATTCTTTGCTTCTTTATCAGCTCCATTAGAGATAAGATATTGAACAACTTCAAGATGACCCTTTTCTGATGCATAAATGAGTGGAGTATATCCATCATTATCCTTTGCTTCTTTATCAGCTCCATTAGAGATAAGATATTGAACAATTTCAAGATAACCATATTGTGATGCATAAATGAGTGGAGTATATCCATCTTTATTCTTTGCTTCTTTATCAGCTCCATTAGAGATAAGATATTTAACAACTTCAAGATGACCATATCTTGATGCATAAATGAGTGGAGTATATCCATCTTCATTCTTTGCTTCTTTATCAGCTCCAACAGAGATAAGATATTTAACAACTTCAAGATGACCATATCTTGATGCATAAATGAGTGGAGTATATCCATCTTTATTCTTTGCTTCTTTATCAGCTCCATTAGAGATAAGATATTTAACAACTTCAAGATGACCATTAAAAGATGATAAATGGAGTGGAGTCTGATTATTTTTGTTTTTAACTTCTTTATCGCAGCCATGCTCAATCAGAGATTTAACGAGTGTAAGATTTCCTTTTTCACATGATTCGAATAAGATATTATTACGAATTTCATCATCATTTTTATTTAGAATGTCTTCACATACTGTTTCAAATAAAGTTTGATCAACTTTTCTTGAAAGATCATCAAGATATTTGTAAACGCCTTGATAATCGCTTGGAATGAAATAACGATTGCAATCGTGTTTTTTATTTCTTGATCTAAGTAATGAATCATGAAGAGATTTGATAATATTGAAATAGTTGTTTTCATCACTAATGACAAGATTTTTATTGATGACTTGTTCACTGCAAAATTCGAAATGAATGCATTCAACGAGTGGTGAGAAAATTTCACTTTCGTTCATGAGAGAGAATATGAAATTTGCTATCGAATCCTCATCTTTGATTAATAGTTTATCATTATTAAAAATACTTTGAATGATATCAAATCCGAGTTTCTTCGAAATTGATTTTAGATCATCTTGATCAATCTCGTAGAAATGAGAAGAAATGAAATCAACACATTCTGATATTTTACTCTCAGAACAAATATCAAAATAAATATCGAGTAGTTGAACACAGTTATTTTTGTCGAGAACCGTTTTGTCGAGAACCTGTGTTTTATATGTATCAATCAGTTCTTGTATTCCAAGTTTATTTCCGATGTAAAAAAGATCTTTCGATATCGTATCATTGCATTCAAATTCTGTTTTATTATATTGTAATATCTCTTTCAACACTTCATATGTTTCTTGTGATTCTACTTTCGTTTTGATATTGATCTTTAGTGTGTTGTTATCTAATACATAAGTATTGTAAATCATTTGAGAAATTGCAACAGCGAAATATTTATTTATTTGTATTTCTACATTGTTTACAGTTAATATAACGCTTTCATTCATTTTGAAACCATGAACCCGTTCCAACATATGATTCTTTAGTTGGATTATTACCATTTTTGTTTTTGTTTTATTTTTAAAAATTGTTGGAATATTTATGGGTCCCGACTAGGCCAAATAGAACCTATCGTCGTTCCAAAAATAGTGGTCGAGATGGTGTTTTACTAAGACGAAAACGAAGAATTTAATTGTTAAAATTAACATCATATTCCTTGAATTCCAAAATGATAATTATTCGTTATCATCTTTCTCGCTTGAGCTAAAAAGAGATAATTTGCTCGAAAGCCACCCTTAAGGCTGCACATAAAGCCCAATTGGGTTTAATTCAATATTTTTATATATAAAGTTAAAAATTTTTAACCCCTGATGAACCTGGTCTACGTATTTTCTTGACTACAAGAAAATTTTGTCATGACTACATTTTTATAAAAGATGGAAGAGCTAAACGTCGATGAGATTATTCATAATATCCAAAACGCCATTCCTATTAGCCAAGACCAGATCATTAGCCTAATAAAGAAATCTATGGACATTATTTTGGCAGAAAGTAACTTATTAGAACTTAAGTCTCCAATCATTTTCTGCGGTGATATTCATGGCCAGCTAGAAGATCTTTTTGAATTATTCAGAGTAGCAGGAGGTGAAGAAAACAACCAATTTCTTTTTATGGGCGATTACGTTGACCGAGGTTATTATTCAATTGACACAATATGCTACTTGTTAGCTTGGAAGATTAAAACAGGCAGAATTTATCTTCTTAGAGGCAACCACGAAGATAAAAACATTAATTCAGTTTATGGCTTTTTTGATGAATGCCAGAAGCACTTCTTTGGAAATCAGATATATGAGATGTTTAATATGTTATTTAATTGCTTACCTCTTGCAGCTTTAACTGATGGAAAAGTTTTAAGTATCCACGGTGGATTGTCGCCCGAGCTTGTTTACATCAGAAAAATTAATACAATAGATCGAGTCTGCGATATACCAAAAACCGGATGAATGGCCGACATTACTTGGAGCGACCCATCAGCTATAGAAAATTTCAAAAGGATACGAAAAATCATTCAGAGGTCAAGGTTATATTTTTGGTCAAGATATGGTAGAAAAGTTTGTCGAAGATAACAATTTAGATTTTATCACAAGATCCCATCAATTGGTTAATGAAGGAATTAAATGGTATTATGACAATAAGCTTGTTAATGTATGGTCGGCTCCAAACTATGGATATGTTAGTAATAATAAGGCAGCAATTTTAAAGTATGGATATACTGGCCCTGGAAGCAAAGAAGAAATCATTTTTGAAGCTGTACCTCAAGAAAGACGTAGACCTGCACAGACAGGTACACCACCATTATATTTTTCTTAATTATTTTTCTTAATTCGATATATAAATGATAATGTTTCTATAATAATAAATACCTATCTCATGTAATTGAAAGTTACTGCTGTTAACATGAAACAAAAGTTGTTTCATTGAAAATATCCAGCAGATTATATTTTATTATTATATACGGTGACATATTGGATTAGAACATTAACCATCCAAAACCATGTGAATTTGTTAAAGATTCATCGAAATAATTCGAATGATTATTATAATATGAGAAAATCACTTTAGGTGAATAACCAAAGTACAATAGAAATGAAGTAACTTAATAAAAAATTATAAATAAAGATACATATATTTACAAATAGAGAGAAAAAGAATAAATAACAAAAATTAATCAGAAATTAAATGTATTTTTCAAATATTCCGCTACCAAATATGTCACTGAAGGACATCCTTTCATAAGGATTCATAGAAATCTATTAGAATATCATGATGGAAGCCTTTACTATTTAAGGATCATCACGGATAGAATAAACTTCTTCTTTACAATATGGACAAACTCTATAGCCGGTGAGTGCTTCAACGTCTGTTATTCTGTCAGCGTGAAGTTTTCCACATGGACTCTGTGTTAATAAAATATTTACTGTTTCAAATTCTGGATCTATCATTATTGATTCCACTAATGGAAAGTCTACCTTATTTATGTCCACGTCTTCTGGTTGAGGATCACAATAATAGAAATCAATATTAACATTTAACATTCTCGCTAATCTCTCACTTTCTGATGAAATGTCAAACCCTTCATATGAATCTATTGCTTCATTTAAATAACTTCTACGAGTTTTAGGATTAACACCATCAGGAATGTTATAGAAGCGTTTAAATAACCTTCTACCTTCTGCTCTAATTTGATTATCATTCATTTTAGCGGTTCCGTTTTTGTTCATTTATGTAAGAATAAAAAATTAAAAAATAAATAAAAATAAAGTTTATTTTTTAAAGCCCATAAAATGAATTAAGAACACATAAATTTTTATCATCTGCGACGTGACGAATACATTTTAATTTACTCAAGAATGCGTACCCCGATACATTAAATCTAATTCCTGTCTTATTTAATTTCACAACTTTGAAAAGGAATGTATGAATAGCTATAAAATGATGAGAAGATGTTTTATGGGTTGCTTCCATTTTTTCTGAAATAAATGAATAAATATAATGTTTATAAGTTTTCATATCTTTTATGTTCTTAATAACGAATGGTATAGACCTTTCCACTTCGTCTTCCTTCGGTGCTGTTCTTTCATATGAAACATTATTAGTATCTTCAATAATGAAACCACAATCACACAAAATTTTATATGTTCCAATGGTTTCTTTTGATATTTTATCTAATAAATCAAAAACTTTATCAACACCTGTGCATTTATTTAAATAATAATTTGTGTAAATATCATGATCTTCTTTCTTAATCGTATTAGTTGCATATGTCACGTTTTTAAGAGCTTTTTTGAATTTTTCGGAATCGAGAGGGGGTGAAAGTAGGATACAGGGGTATTCTTCATTATCAATAAATTGTAACTTATGTTTACGTATAAATTTAGTACCTTCTTCTGAAAGTGTTTCATCTATTTCGCCATCTAATAAATTTTGTGTTGATTCTGAGACATAATTTTTATATCTTTCTTCATGAGATTTCTGAACTGCTGATTCTGAAGCTGGGATATTCATTAAACCCTCTACTTCATTTTCATTATATTTTTCAACTTCTCTTAATTCCTTAATTTTTTCATCTATTTCATCTCTTATTTTTTCCAGTCTTTCAATTTCATTGTATTCATCATCTTTAATCCGTTCTTCATAATATTCAGGGAAAACATCAGGTTCTTTAGGTTTTTCTTCTTCAGATGTGGGATATAAGAAATTTATAACATCATCTTTATTCATTTTTCCATCATAATCTAAATCATTTAATAACTCGGCAAATTTTTGACAATTTCTTAAATAATATTTACTAACTTCATAACACATCTCATCTAATATATCCTTTATTTCCTCGTTTGTGAATCCTAATTTTTTAACGTCGTTAGTTTTGACGCTCATTTCATACGAATTAAAAATAAATTATTCAAAAATAAAGGGGGTGGTTAGTTTGAAATCTATTCCTCAATCAAGAATCACCTCATTAATGAAAATTGATGATTTAACAAAAAGAATAGAAGAGATTGAAGAAAGAATGAATCAAATAATTGATTTCATAAATTCAAATAATCATTAGTTTCTTAAATAATATATCCTTTATTTCCTCGTTTGTGAATCCTAATGTTTTCACGTTGTTAGTTTTGACGCTCATTTCTTACGAATTAAAAATAAATTTTCATAAATGTAAGACATGAATTTTTAAAGTTTATTTTTTATTCATGAAAATAATTATATCTGATTTCTTTTACTCTCTCATACATACTAGATTTGAAGAATTCGGAACTTTTACCATAATCTCCTAAATGTTTTCTTATCCCTAACGTGTGCCAGTTATTATATGAAACTGAATAAACTTTATCTTTATCTTTACACCTTTCATCACTTCCAATATATTTATATTTCAATTTTGATTTAGCATTTTCATATTCATTAGCGTTTAATAATTCACAGTCTTCCTTTTTAAATTGATGTTTAAGATATTCAGGATTTAATACTCTACGTTTATATGCTCCTAACTTAGTTCTAAAGGTTTTTCTACAAAATTTAGGAATTCCATCCTCTTTAATGTCATCAATGATTTCCATTTCATTATTTTCAATTTCTTCTTCTCGTTTATGAGGTCTTTGATTATGACTCCATTGATTCCATGAAATTAAATATTCTTTATCATTATATTTATACCTCATTAGCTTATTTTGGCTTTCATATTCATTTAATAATTCACAATCTTCATTTTTAAATTGAAGTTTAACCCATTCAGGATTTAAACAATGTTTAATTAATCGTGGAATATCTGACATCATCTATAAGGTCAGGTATGAGGGGCTTCCAGGGGCTGCGCCCCTTCTAGCCCTAAGAAATTTTGCCCAAGACCCAAGAGGAGGACCGAACCCCAGCCGACCAGCCGGTGACAAAACCAAAACCGTTGTTATTTACATCATATTAATGATGTCACTTTTAAAAATGTCACTTTTTGTTTCACTTTTCACAAATTATATATGTTTTCATGTTTTGTCACTTTTCTGTCACTTTTCAGGAAAAAACATTTTTATTATTATATATAAATGAATTTTACAAAACCACCGTTACCGTTCTTTGGAAATAAGAGTAGATGTAAAGATATTATATTGAGAGAACTTAAGAAACTACCGAATGGTCTAACATTTGTAGATTTGTTCGGTGGAAGTTTCTATATATCCCATTTATGTCAAACAATATTCCCAGACTCAAAGATTAATGCAATGACTTCGACAACTATATGGACCGTCTCAAACATATTCCAGACACAACAATATATTGAAAGAGTTAAAAGAAAAGATACCTATAGGTAAGATGGAACGTAATTCCATTAGATAAGAAAATATTGTGAGAGAGGTTTTGAAAAAAGCAGAATATATAGACTGGGATAGTATATCTGCTAGACTATTATATAGTGGTACTATAAGAGTTCATGACATTGAAACACTTATGTCAAAAGTTTTATATCTTAACTATACAAATGTTTTCAAAGAGGACATAGAAAAATATATTGAGGGTATAGAGTTTGTGAAGATGTCATTGGACAGAGTTGTATGAAAAATATAAAGACAAGGAAAATGTTTTCTTTATAGTGGACCCGCCGTTCTATAACACATGGGATTTTCAATACCAAGTAGACTGGACTTTGAGAGACTCTTTAGAAACTTTAGACGTTATACATAACCATCCATGCTTTTTACTTTACATACGATAAAAGTGGTTTGGAAACCGTTATGAGATGGTTAGAGGACATACATGACTATGAGTTTATATATGACAAGATAGAATATGAGAGAGGTCCTATAAACCGGAGAAAGTGTCACAATAAAGAAATTTTATTAGTAAGTAAATGTGGTTTGAAATAGGACTACTTGTTTTAGGTTTTTTCCATTGTGTCATTTATTTATTTGACGTGGCAGAAAAGTACAGAGATATGAAGATGAACCAATGCTGCAAATGTTCAGTATATGTACTGTAAGAGATATTTTTATCTAATATTAAATGGACGCCACAGAACTTAGCGAATGCACAGCAACCTGGACAACCAAACCCAGAGAATATTCCAAATGAAGTTAGAATACAAACTGCAATGGCAAACTATGGTCAAGTGCCAACAGATGTACAAATGCAAACTGCCATGTCAAATGACGCTGCGTTAGGTTTGCCACCATGGTATGCAAATATGAGATGGAAAGAGTTTTATACAAACCCTGAAGTGGGATATAAACAACTTTATGCAGTGACGCGAACACAGGAGTTGACCCAGAATATGTTTTCTACCAGAGGAGAAACAGAATGTATGAGCTCCAGTTAAAGAATGCTATGGAACTCAACAGGAAACGTAAGAGACTAGGCGGGACATTAGATTTTTACACGTAGTAAATGGGTTTCTTCAGTAGTATTGGAAACTTCTTCAGAAGAGTTGGAAGAGGTATATTGGAATGGAATAAAATCTGTCGGAAGAGGAATTTGGAACGGAGTCAAAAATATTGGTAAAAGAGTAGGTCAGTTCGTTGGTATTATACCTAAAGACCCTGAAACCAGAAGAACAAGCTCCTGTTATACAACAGCCTGAACCTGCACAACAGTCAAGTTGGCAACCAAATCCAACACCTCAACCGTATTAAAAAATTATATTTTTACCGTTCGAATAGTAGTTGTATATGAAACTAAGTTCTAAGTAAACGCATGGTATAATGGAATTATTCTTTTTCTTCCATCTGTAGTAAACCATACTTGAAAGTCTGAAATACTTCCACTCGGCGTTCATATAACTTTGTAGGTTTTTCGTAAAAGTCATTTGCCAAGCATAAGAAAGAGTTTTGGGCGCCAGAAAATGAAGCATGAACAATAATAGCATCTTGGTCGAAAATATTTTCATATGTTCCATTAGGGTTTTCGACTTCATAATGTCCGGGTGTACTGGATATGCTGCAGGCTGATTTAACATCCTCATAAATCTATACATGCCAAGTTGTTATATTTTGTAGAAATATAAACGTTTTCTTTCCAAGGTCTTCTATTTTATTGATTTTAACAGTTGCATTTTTCCTGTCATAAATAATATCGAGATGGTATTCTCCTTCGTCAATGTTATACTGGTTTGCATATTCGATATAGATATCGTTTATTTTTTCTTGAAAAGCTTGAAGAGTTGTTTTCTAAGTTTACAAGCAAACTAACTTGTAAAGTTTTCCCTGTTCAAATTTCTCATACATACGTTTTTTCTTTGTTATAGTATCGAACTTCAAAACCGACCGTAAATGGGAAACCATGTATGGCTTCTGAAATGAACTTCATTCTACGAAAGCCAATAGCTTTTGTGACGGATGGGTCTCTTAACCATCTTAATGGGTAGTCAAAACGATAGCCTTCATGCTTTATAGTATCTGTCTCAAACTTTTGACCGACATTAGTAAAAAGTTCATCTAATGGTTTAGTTGTAGCAACTCTTGAATTTTCTTTTTCTATTGAAAGCATATTTTATCTATAATAAAAATGTCAAATGAAACAGCGTCTATGAGAGAAATACAACACAACCGACAACTCATTATGCAAGCTCTAAATAAGAACACAACAAACTTTTCAAACTATTCTAAGATATCTGAGTCATTGAAAGAAGGAAACTTAAAACTGACATTAAACCCAATGACAGATGAGTTTCTATTTCAAGACAAGAAGAACAATACTGTCTGTATAAATCCAACAAAAGGAACTTTAAACGAGA